TCCACTCGTGAGCTCATTTACCATTGTCACATATAGTAAATGTCCAGGCCTTGTGACCCTGGATGGGCACTTAAAAGGAAAGAATACACACACACAAACTGCGCATGAACGAACGTTCAAAGTGAATGCCTCTTGTTTGTGTGTGTGTATTCTTTCCTTTTAAGTGCCCATCCAGGGTCACAAGGCCTGGACATTTACTATATGTGACAATGGTAAATGAGCTCACGAGTGGAAGGAATACATTCGTTCGTTCGTTTATTATTATTAGGTATATATCTAGAAAAGGTATGTATATCGCTGGAAACTCAGAGAGCGTTTTATGTTGTTATTTTATTTCCTGAGTACGGGTCTTCGACCAATTTCATATTGTTATACCTCACCATGTCCAAATCCTTTGTCTCAACTTCATTAAATATTATTCATTGTGGTTGCACGTTTCATCTCAGCTATCCCTATTGGACGATTACTTCATTCTACGAAAATACAATGAACTCAATCACCGTGACCCTGCACAGATTAACATAAACTCAGATAAAAACATAATACAATGACTTGTGTTCAGTTTCCACATCATCATATCTTGATAGACTGTGTATGGGATGCTTCAAAGTTCAAACCAACATTTTAAACTTTTCTGGTTATTTCAAATTGTGAAGTATCAGGTGACATCTCAAGGTCTTTGGGGCTAATACAAATGAGCAATAAAAACAGCGCAATTATTCATTAAAGGAGATTATTCTGAGAGAGGAATAGACGTTATGTCTTTAAAGGATTTTTTAAAGAAAACAGGAATGACTAGAAAACGGCGAAACTATTTATAAAACAATTTGTATTTCAGCTCGCGTAATAGTTGGAAACAAAACCGCATATACACGCTAGTGCATGCAGATAGTCTAGTGATAAACAATATTCTTGTGCTGGGATTGTAGAATCAAACCAGAGGAATATTTAACATCTTTGCACTGTCCACCGACACTGAGGTGAATAATTGTTTTAGCAAATACCACAACAAAACAAGAATGACTAAAAAACAACGAAACTATTTATAAAACAAGTTGTATTTCATCTGGCGTAATAGTTGTAAACAAAACAGTATTTACACGCATTCTTATTAAATGTTTTAAGTGCAAAATTATTAGCACCTGTCCCTGTGAACGAAGGTATAAAACAAAACTAAACTTTGTTTTTATTTATTAGTTCTACTGTAATGTCTCTATAAAAGGTCCTTTCAAGGTTACTTGAGAAGCGAAGGTGTGGTTTATAGAACATTGCTTCTTTGTCTATGATTACAGATTAGACAAATCTTACAAACAGAAAGACTGTACTTGGTATTTCATTAAGCTTACACAACTTCGGCAATGCGAATTTTGTCGTTTGCATAGAGCAAACTTACATGAAGCCTCCAACTTTGAGATTTAGGTATTTCGATGTGAGATTGCTGACCAGTGGGTAAATGTATTGATAGCTTGCCTCCATCACAATCCAAAACTAACTCAACCGTGTCACCCTGTTTAGTTGCATTAAACATATTGTTTGTTGTATGCGATCCGTTTTCAATCACTCCCGGAATAGCGGTCCCGAGATACCACCCATTACAACCAGACAAGGAATATGAACCAACTGACTGTGGTACAACATCCGCTTTCAATATGGCAACCATGATCCAATTGTTATTTTGAAAGGACTCTAACTTTAACTTGAAATGGGTAATCCCATGTTGATAAACATTCTCACCGAGGACATATTTATGCCCCACACTTGAATCGTGAACTGCTACTTTGCCGTCTTCCTGAATACTAATTCCAGGACTGTGTGAATTGAATTTCTCGCTTAATTTCTCAGTTTCAATCTCAGTGGGGACGATTTCTTTACTTAGACCGAGATACTCGACAAAAGTGTTGAAATTTTTCGCTTGATCTCTTGGAACTTTTGGCAATTCTGCAGGATTTTCTGGCGACGCAATTTTCTTCGTGCGCAGATAATCCAAAATATAACCAAAATACTGTGGGTTGACGTCAAAGAATACGGCGCCATCTTGATCACGCTTCACACTGTCTTCCCACCTGCCACTGAACATGGTGGCAAGTAAGGAACCTTCTACTTGACACAAAGTGGATCTTGTGCTCGTGAATTTTTGTCCACCGACGTTCAGAAGTATTATATCATCGTCGCTAACGTCGACTGCTTTCATTCTTTGCTTCTCGGCCTGATACGCTTCAATTTCCGCCTTCATTTTATCTCTTTCGCCTTCTACAATTTCTTTAAATTCCTCCTTGAATCGCTTTACCAAATCGTCAAATTTCGATAGCAAATCAGTGCAGCTCATTTTGTTACGTTTTGAATTCAAATGGAATGATTCTCAGTTTGGCAGAGATAAGAACAACACTTTTTACAGCGCGTAATGAAATAACTTTGTCTTCGCAGGAAAAGCACTCAATTCTGGGAAGACTATTGCGAAATTTTAATAATCCAAATGCTGACATGTGATTGGAGATGAATAGACCATGACGATCTGTTAAGGATAGACATGGTTTCAGGTTTCATTACTCGCTATGAGTGTTGCTGTGTAGATAGCCTATATATCGAGATTTTGTTCACATCTCACTTGATTCAATAATAGTTGAAGGGTCTTGTAGACAAGTTATTGAATCGAGTGAGATGGCAACGAAATCTTGATATTATCTACTACCAGATATTACTGACTTATTCACATTGCAAAAGACTGTATGTCTCATTTTAAACTGTCAAAATATTTTCAAAGCAACATCTCTAAACTTTGTCTGCGCAGGAAAGCACCCTGCAGGGAACATTTTGCAAAATTTTAATAATCCTGATGTGATTGGAGATAAATAGACCATGACGATCTGTTAAGCATAGACATGGTTTTAGGTTGCATTACTCACTTATGAGTGTTCCAGTCGATGAATCATCCTCGTACCCAGGGTATTTTTGGGAATCGATGAATAAAAACTCTGAGTGACCATAGTCAAGTCACTATAGTCTTTTCAAGGGGTTGTTTATATGGAGGCGAGCCAGCCTGGGTGCCGAGCTAGCTGGTTTCATCTCGTGTTTACATGAGAATTTTGAGGCGGACTGGCTCGGCGCCATGAATAGTATGACTTGTCTTACCGCTATGAATAGTATGATGTAGATTTTTTTTAATTTGAAACCTCAACAACATCGAAATCTGTCGAGCAATAATACTCAGCCTGCTTGGGCGAGCCAGCCCGGGTCATTGCGTATATATGGGAAATTCCCAGCCTGGTCACCCGAGATCTCAGGTCAGTCGAGGCGGGATCTCGCTTAGGCAGGCCAGCTTGGTTCCCATACAAACGAAAAATAAAATTTAGTAGGAGATAATAACAACGACGGGATCTCGCCAAAACCGGGCTAGCTCGGGTTATGTTTGCATACGTATTCTAAAACATGAGCACAAAAACAACTATTTTCGACATAACGATGGAGACCATTCCTCGAAATGTACAATTGTACATTGACCATATTGACAAGTTAAACTTCATGACCCCTCTTCAGCTTGGAGAGCGGTAAAATATTGAAGACAAAAAAGCAATGTCAATAGTTTATGTAATATTTAAAGCACTTGTAGTCGTGTTTCATCACATATAAAACGCGAGGCGTAGCCGAGCGTTTTATATGTGATAAAACACGACTACAAGTGCTTTAAATGGCTTAAAAAATGACTCATCTTATACGAGTTTATTGGCGAAGTAATTTTTAAAATAAACTTTGTCTAAACCGAGAAAATCAAAGCTAAAGTTTATGTAAATTAACATGATTTTTTATCACATATAAAACCACGACACGCTTATGATTTTTCTTTGTGTTTTGCTCCTGAATTATTAATGAGTTTTTTAAATCTCAATACAATATGTAAATCAATCGGGGTCACTATCTTGATCATTTTCCGATTTCTCAGGAGGCAAATGGTGTCTCCAAAGAAAGTACATGTGCAGACAACATGAAACTTTAGACTGCAGAAAATTGCACAAGCAGTTATCAAAATCATCTCACAGATCTGTTAAAGGACATTCCTAGAAATATATTTTGACCATATTGACAAATTAAACTTCATGACCCCTTGTCAGCTTGGGGCGTGGGGCGGGGGGGGGTACAAAGCGCACGCAAGGCGCATTGAACCACCTCAAACTCTCATCCTCATTTGATCAGGTCCAGAATATGGATTTTAGTCCGTATTGGTCCAGTGTTACGACAGGTGAAGTTAGGCAAAAGTGAATAATCTAAATCTCTAAGATTATAAATAAGCAAATGCACTAATCGGTATTGTGTGTGTTAATTAGTAAACTTCTTGGTAACATTCAATTTTCAGAACGTGAAGAAAGTGCTATATCCACTATCATAGTACGTGGATCAACAGACAGCATCATGGACGATATAGAGAGAGCTATAGATGATGGTGTAAATACTTATAAACAACTGACTAAAGATGGACGATGTCTGCCTGGTGCTGGGGCTACTGAAATTGAACTTGCTATGCAGTTGGCTACTTATGCTGAGGTAGGGCTTTCATATATCATTGTTTTGCCTGTCAGTACACTACTATGAATGTTGAAACTTTGCGAATTATTGTTCATTAAAACAGGGGCGGATCCTAGCCTCATCTGCAAGGAGGGGTGCAGGTTTTCCATGGGGTGGTGCATGAGGGAGCCTTATTGCCCACTCTCCTCTGCAGTCTACAACGCTACTATCCCAACATTACCATTATTCGAGATGGCCGAATCTGCATGTTCGCCGTCTTGTTACGTTTTACAATGCATCTTTTATTTATAAAGTTTGGCTTTTTATCACGTATGCGAAACTGGCAGTTCTGTAGCACTGCATAGTACAGTAAATTTGCTTGTTCAAGTACAGTATATATTTGAAAATATGGCTATACACCAACCTCAACATGTTTACATATTTAACCATGATATTTAACCAAACCATTCTGAGTATTTTCGCGTGAGCCGCTCACAAATTAAATAAATCGTTTCAAGAAATCGACACGCGCTACATTAGAAGTTCCGCAAGTCATTAATATTCGACTGAAAAGCAGAAAATGTATGGTCAAGCACTTTTTTGGTGGGTGGTGCTGAACTTCTATAGGGGGATGCTAGACACCACTAGGTAGGGCACACCCCCCCAGACAAAGCTAGACAACAGTACAGTACACTGTTGTACTAGGCGGATTAGTGTTGTAGTTAGGTGGCAGTTTCATTGAATCGATATGTCACTTAGTCTTGAAAATTCTTTTCACAGACGTTTTCAGGTTTAGAGCAGTATGCTATCAAGAAGTTCGCTGAGGCCTTGGAAGTATTTCCTAAAGTTCTCGCAGAAACCTCGGGAGTTAAAGGCAATGAAGTCATCTCGCAACTTTACGCTTCACATAATGACGGCAAGAAGAACTCTGGCTTTGATATAGAGGTATTTATTTAAGTTTTACTTAAGGATTGAGTCTAAAATCTGAGAATCCTAACTTGGTGTTTAATTATACTGGATAGTTCTATCAGTTCTAAACTGTTCTCCCTAGAGGTCCAGTAAGTATCATCCTTTGCTGGTCCAGTGTTACTACAAGAGGAGAGCTAAACTAACTTTATTTTTACTGGATAGCTTTATCAAAGCTAAACTGTTTTCCTTAGTGGTCCAGTAAGGATCATCTTTTATTGATCTAGTGTTACTACAGGAGGAAACCTAATCTAACTTTATCTATACTGGACAGCTCTTTTAGTTCTAAACTCTTCTCCTAGAGGTTCAGTAAGACCTATCCTTTATTGATCCAGTTTTACTACAGAAAGAAACCTAAATTAAATTTATTTATACTGGATAGCTCTTTCAGTTCAAAACTGTTCTCCATAGGCATAGAGATCCAGTAAAGTTCATGATGTGTTGATCCAGTATTACTACAGGAGGAAACCTAAACTAAACCAACTTTATTTCTACTGGATAGTTTTATCAGTTGTAAACTGTTCTTCCTAGAAGTTCAATAGGAGGCATCTCCTATTGATCCAGTGTTACTACAAAAGGAAACCTAAACTAAACTAACTTTATTAATACTGGGTAGCTCTATCAGTTCTAAACTGTTCTTCCTAGAGGTCCAGTAAGGATCATCTCTTATTGATCCAGTGTTACTACTGGAGGAAACCTAAACTAAACTAACTTTATTAATACTGGGTAGCTCTATCAGTTCTAAACTGTTCTTCCTATATGGAGTTCCAATAAGTGACATCTTCTGTTGGTCCAGTGACTTACAGTACCCTTAAGTTTTGAAATTATAGTCAGACAACAACATATGGCAGGAATCGACTCTCGATCACAGAGGCGAACTAAAATCTTTGTGATATATTTCAGGCTGGCAATGCTAGTCTTAAAGATGTTGCCGAAGCTGGGATATATGATCCACTTGCTGTAAAGCAAAATGCCATCAAGATGGCATCTAATGCTGCTGTCACCATACTCAGAGTTGATCAGGTAGGATGATTAAACAATCCTATACAGCACGTGGGTTGCTAGTGGTAGTAGTGATTGACCGATTAATATTAGCGCCACAATCTAAAAAACCCCGATTACATCGATTTTCAGGACTAGTTTGACCCAAATCCAGTTTGTTATGAGATCAGTTTGAAGCCATGAACTGATCCCAAATAGACTGGATAGACCCAATTGAAAATGAAACTGGTCTCATAATAGACTGGATATAGACTGAATTGAAAATGAAACTGATCTCATAACAGACTGATAGACCCAATTGAAAATGAAACAATCTCATAACAGAATGGATAGACCGAACCGAAAATGAAACTGATCTCATAACAGACTGGATAGACCGAATTGAAAATGAAACTGATCTTGTAATAGACCGGATGGACCCAATTGAAAATGAAACGATCTCATAACAGAATGATAGACCGAACCGAAAATGAAACTGATCTCATAACAGACTGGATAGACCGAATTGAAAATGAAATTGATCTCATAACAGACTCGATATAACAGACCCAATTAAAAATGAAACTGAACTCATATAGACTGGATAGACCCAATCAAAACTGATTCGACCGGGCAAGTTTACATGAATGTAAATTTCAGATCTAACATGCATTGCCTTCTCTTTTTAGATCATAATGGCCAAGCCTGCTGGCGGTCCTAAACCCAGGGCTGGTGGAAATCGCGATGACGATTAGCAATGCCCTCAAAAAACATTCTGATGCTCTTATCCTTTTGCTATAATACATAATATATTAAAGTCTATTTGATCTAGGAAATTACACATTTTCATTATGCTTGCAAAAACTCGACAGAAAGTAAGATATGTCAATAAAAGGATTGGAATATATTTTTACGTATTAATATTGTATTAATTTTGTAGTTTACACAGTTAGCAACCTTTTTAAATGAATCTGGCGGTTGAGCGACACAAAATAATAGTTACATATTACCAATTTAAATACAATTATCATTGATACTGTAAAATTGTCGCCATATTTATATAGCAGTATATAAGCAAAACTTACTCAACTTCAGACATTATTTACTCTTTGGAGTGCTATCTAAAATCCCTTCATTTTAGCATAATTTTATAGATAAAGCACTAAACATATTTTTTAAGTTTATTTGCCGCTTGAGGAACGTATCAAACATTCGCATCCGATCTTTATCTGATATACAAACTCCCGCCTTCGGCTCGAGTTTGTATATCAGATAAAGATCGACTGCTCATGTTTTAACGAGTACTTAAAGGGGCATGATTAACCACAATACAATGCGCGCTTTTGTTTACGTTTTCCAGTTACTTTCCTCAATAGTTCTCTCCCATTTTCGAGGCCACGAAAATGGCTGCCTCTGGCCCACAACGTTACAGAAACGTCTGCCATCTGATTTTGACTGATTTTATGCGTATATCTCGTTTTTTTGTGTGTATATCTCATTATGTATGCAGATTGCCAGTCGCATGGTTACGTCATTGCATTGTCATATTTCCGCTGTACCCTAAGGCTGTCAATTTTTGCCAAACTTCATTTAAACACATTAATACGTTCGCTTGAATCACCAAAAATAATACAAATTTCTGTGAAAAGGTTAGATGCAAAATATCTTATTGCGTATCTTAAACTGTTGATTGAGTATGCTGTTTTCAAGTATTGAAAATACATGAACCGTTTCTAATTATTCGGCTTAGTAGTTCTATTTACGTATTTCCTCCTATTCCGGCAACACGCTTTGTGAACATTCTTTTCCCCCATGATTAGATGTAACAGGACAAAGCTATTGAGCTGTGTTTTGGTGAGTGGAAGAAGCTAGTTGAAATCTTATAAATGGTAAGAGCCTTTCATTCTGAATTTTTACAGCAGGACACTGAACTAAGACCCCAGCCACAAGCGCCGAAGCCCTTGGTATGAGGTTGAGCGGGAGGTCCAGTAATGATCACCCTTATTTATGCAGTGTTACTACATGAGGAAGCTTAATCTAAACTAACTGTATATAGCTCTGTCAGTTCTAAAGTGTTCTTTCTGGAGATCCAGTAATGGTCTCCCTTACTTATGCAGTGTTACTACAGAAGGAAGTTAATCTAAACTAACTTAGTTTATACTGAATAGCTCTATCGGTTCTAAACTGTTCTTCCCGGAGGTCCAGAAAGGGCCATCTCTTTTGGACCATGGACTTGCTACAAGTCGACGCGCAGCGAATAAACCTATGGCGGGACTTAATTTGGGACTTTATTAGTCCTGTTGTCTGTGCCTTCAATTTCTTATTGTAAAACACATAAAAAAAATCAACAAAAAACCTCCACTGACTTCAAAACATTTAGGGTCAACCGCATAGCTAAATAACACGAGTCAACTTATAGCAAGTCTATACTGTTATATAACCGTGTTTTGAAATCCTTTTGCTCTCTTTGTATTTCTATATGTGAAGTTAGCAATGAACTACCTGTTGCTAATCGTTCTGATGTGTTTCGTGACAACCGTTCAATCCTTTGGTTGTTTACCATGCAGCCGTGAATTTAGATGTAGTCCTTTTTACCAATTGTGGATACAGTCGCTTAGCAAAATAGAGTGGGGACCATGTCGATGTCACATTGTGTGTGGAAAACCAACGTTGAAGAGAATGTTTCAGAAGTGTGGTGGTATTCATGGACAGTGCAAGGTCGGTTTGGTATGCTACCCAAAAATGCAAATATGTTTACCTAGTGGCATCGGTTATCTGGTGAGTTAACCTGTTTGCATTCACAAGTACAAGCCTAGGGTCTATGAAGTAGGACAACATGTTACTGGGGACATTTAGGGACCGGTCAGTGTTTATGGTGGGGGGTGGCACCGAAAATTGATTTTCACTTTTTTACCTGATTCAGCCATTAAAAAGTCAAAAAATATGTGACATGAGTTTGAACTGATAGTGTATATCAGTGGAGACGCCATTTGCCTCCTGACAAATCCGAAAATGATCAAGATAGTGACTCTAATTGATTTACATATTGTATTGACATATGACTGTTGACATTGCTTTTTAGTCTTGAACATTTGAGCAAGTTATGCTTTGGAAATGACAATAAATTTTTATTACCCAACCCTTGAGTTGTTTTGTTTTTCATTTACCCAATCTTTTAATCACTCAAAATTTTGTTTACCCAACGCTTTTCTCTTCGGTGCCACCCGAGAGAGCTTTCTTCTTTGGTGGAATATTTTAGTCATGAACAGTTTTGAAATGTCAAACTCATGTGTACTTTCAACAATAGACAAAACTGTTAATAAGTTCAATTCTACTTCTTGAAATACACAAAAAAGACTTGTCTTTTATAGTAGAACTTTATTTAGTCTTCATCTCTGATATACTCGTAAAATCTATACATATATAGTCATAGGACTTTGCAAAAATTAAAATTTTTGGCCACCCGTTCGAAAAAAAAAGTCGGAAAAATTCAAAATTTGGGACTTAAACTGTATGGACTACCATCTCTCTCGTAAAATCAATATAGTCATGGGTCTTTGCAACAATCAAAATTTTAAATTGAAAACCTGTCCGAAAAAACCCATTTAAAAAATTTTAAATTTGGCTGAAACTTTATGTCAGACTATATCATCTCTGATATACTCGTAAAATCTATACATGTAAGGGCAGGACTGTACAAAAATCAAAATTTTTGGCCACCTGTCCTCAAGGACAAGCTACCAGTAAAGTCACTGAACCTTTTCGACTCCTTCGACTTGTTGTATATTAATGGCTTGCTAACGTTAGTTGATAATGTTTTTACTACATAAACACCGGCGCACATACGCCGGTTTTAGGATATCTTTTCTAATATCAATTTTAGGACTATTGTCTGTGACTTTGAGCGAATCAAAAAAGACAAAATTTAGGTATTCTCATTATAAATCACGGTTAGAAAATATATTTGAAAATTTCACTAAGATACAAGCGAAGGAAAGCGAAAAGGATGGCTATTTTACAAATACATGGGCCGTGGAATTACATGAACCGGCAGAGGAAGAGGATTTGAACAGGATCGCGAAGAAACATGGGTTTATACTTTTGGATAAGGTAGGATGTGATGTATTCTGACAGGTCTGATCAGCAGCATACTTGACTCTTAACGCCTCATCGGTTTGATAAGTTCATGTATATTTTTTCAAGATTAAATGAGAACATTTTAGATTTACTATAGCAAGTGTTGCTTAGGGCCTGTTCATATATGAGCAAAGGTACCCGGGAATTAATTCACCTTATTCCTTAATGTCTAATGAGATTCGCGTGCAATTTGTTAACGCATATAAAATCATATCTCATACGATTAAATCATTGCTTAAAGTGAGGTTGATTCAATATACTTCACGCGAGGTATCCAGTAATAGTATTATCATGTTACCAAAATAAAGTAATAGGGATGGCTAGTTTATTCGTGAATTATTGAGTTTGAGATTTATTATACTGGATGTAATATTTCAAATCAAACTATGAGGACTGGATTAGATTCCAAGTCTGCGCAATTTGATCAAATCTGAGGCGAAGCCAAGGACTGTATCAAAGTGCGAGGACTTGAAATCTAGTCCATTCTGCATGAGTTGGAGGATTTGAAATGACATCTCAGTGCATTATAAATCACTACTTAAAGTGAGGTAAGTTAATTTTGATCCAGTCCAAGGACTGAGTTAATTTTGATTCAGTCCAAGGACTGAGTTAATTTTGATTCAGTCCAAGGACTGAGTTAATTTTGATTCAGTCCAAGGACTGAGTTAATTTTGATTCAGTCCAAGGACTGAGTTAATTTTGATCCAGTCCAAGGACTGAGTTAATTTTGATTCAGTCCAAGGACTGAGTTAATTTTGATTCAGTCCAAGGACTGAGTTAATTTTGATTCAGTCCAAGGACTGAGTTAATTTTGATCCAGTCCAAGGACTGAGTTAATTTTGATCCAGTCCAAGGACTGAGTTAATTTTGATTCAGTCCAAGGACTGAGTTAATTTTGATTCAGTCCAAGGACTGAGTTAATTTTGATTCGGTCCAAGGACTGAGTTAATTTTGATTCAGTCCAAGGACTGAGTTAATTTTGATCCAGTCCTAGGACTGAGTTAATTTTGATTCAGTCCAAGGACTGAGTTAATTTTGATTCAGTCCAAGGACTGAGTTAATTTTGATTCAGTCCAAGGACTGAGTTAATTTTGATCCAGTCCAAGGACTGAGTTAATTTTGATTCAGTCCAAGGACTGAGTTAATTTTGATTCTGTCCAAGGACTGAGTTAATTTTGATTCAGTCCAAGGACTGAGTTAATTTTGATTCAGTCCAAGGACTGAGTTAATTTTGATCCAGTCCAAGGACTGAGTTAATTTTGATTCAGTCCTAGGACTGAATCAATATACTTCACCAGGTATCCAGTATTATCCTGTGAGCAAAATAAAGCAATACGGTTGGCTAATTTACTCATGAATTGTTGAGTTTGAGATTTATACTGGATAGCTCTATCAGTTCTAAACTGTTCTCCCTAGTGTCCACTCCTATTTAATCTAGTGTTACTACATGCAGGACGAAACCTAAACTAACTCTATCTTCTCTGGATAGCTCTGTCATTTCTAAGATGTTTTCCCTAGTTCCCGAGAAGGAGTTGTATGCCTGTAATCTATTCTTACATTTTCTTTTCAAAGATTGGCAGTTTAAAGAATCACTTCCACTTAAGGCATGACGATGTAAAGGAGCTGCATCATAAACACGCTCAGGAAAAGACAGATCTCTTAATGCTTGAAAAAGAGGTAAGTACGACTTCGATTCCTGCCAGAAGGCTTACAGTTGTATTTTCCCCTTGATGTATGAGAAGTATATACCATAGTGGTATGTTCTATAGTAAGATATAATCTCTGACAGAAGTGTTTCTTTCAAAACAGGTCAAAGACGCAACACAACAGAAATATATTCACAGAATGAAACGAGATGGTATACCCACTGACCCTAAATTTGGAGAAATGTGGTATCTGGTAAGCGTTGTTATTACAATTGCAAAAGGAAGCCTTCGACTCGATCAGGCTGAGCTGTGTGAGCAATAGATTTGAATCAGTAATACCATTTATTTCTGTAGTTAAATTCAGGTCAGACAGGTGGACCTGTTGGCGTGGATACAAATGTCTTGCCTGTGTGGAAAAGTGGTATTACAGGACGGGGGGTTGTTATCTCCGTTTTAGATGATGGTAAGTACTCAGTTCTGTATTTATACATGGCAGGAGGAGGGGAGTTTGGGGGAGGGGGGTGCTTCAAATTTCTGTAGGTCCGGTGGGATAACGTTCTGAGGGGGTGCCATAAAAGTTTTTGGTAGCGAGGGGTATTGCACTTTCCCTTCCTCCCCCCCCCCGCCCCAGAAAATCTGCGCATGGTTAGGTCTGAGATAAAATAGGTTACTGAGGTCAGGGTCATTTTGTTACCAGGATAATTAATGTACTGAATTTATGTATTGTCTTTTTAAGGTCTTGACCATACTCACCCAGACCTTTCACCAAACTATGTAAGTATGCAGAGATGACTGATGCTCATCGGTCGTGAAAGGTGTTTTGTTGGTGTTACTATTGCAAAAAATCCCAGCAAGCAAAGCATTTCACTTTTCAGATCCATTCTCAGAGATGTGAAAAACTAGTTCATATTATTCTTACACTGGAGAGATTCGATCTCGGACTACACACGTAAAAACGCACAAGTTGTAACAAACCTGCAGCAGACTTGTAGCAATGCTGTTTCAACAACTTGTCAACATGCAGGATGTGTTCGCACTGCTTGTTCCCAGCTTGTTGACAACTTGCTACAAGGTTGTTGAGCTCAACAGACTTGTTACAAGTTTTTCCAACAACTTGTAATCGTCCTGCAATTCAATAATTTGTCAACAAGTTGTGAGTGACAACCTTGTAGCAACTTAATAAATTAGCAACATTGTTACAACTTTGTTGACAGGCTTGCTACAATCCTGTTGCGAACACATCTTGTTGACAAGTTGTGAGATTTTTACGTATCGCTCGTCTTAGAGGTTGCGTGCAGTATTTCAAATGGAGCATTGTTAAGTGAAACAAGTTATATGAATCACAGGAAAACAGTTCCATTCAATATTTTTAAATATATTATTGAATATTTTTAGTTACCAGAAGCCAGTTATGATTTCAATAGTCATGACGCTGATCCTTCTCCACGAGATGAAGACCCTGATAACTGGTATGTTGCACTGGTATGTGACAACCCACCCCCTTGCATTCCATCTTGCCAAGGCTTGAAAGGGTGCCCCCAAACCTACCCCACCACCCTCACCTTACCCCACCACCCCTACCTTACCCCACCTTTCTCACCTTACCCCACCTCCCTCAGCTTACCCCACCTCCCTCACCTTACCCCACCTCCCTCACCT